AATGGGGCTTTACTACCATAGCAGATGTTGTGCTTCCATCACATAATGCGTTGGTCGCAGATGCATGGTCTCTCGAGGCCAGCAGATGCATGGTCTCTCAAGGCCAGCAGATGCCACCTCTTAAGCTTAATAGCAATGTGCATGCTATTTACATTTGTTTTTTTTTTTGTTTGTTTGTTTTTTTTTTGTTTTTTTTTTTTTGTTTGTTTTTTTTTTTTTTTTTGTTTTTTTTTTTTTTTTTTTTTTTTTTTTTTTTTTTTTTAGTATCTACACTAGAGTCACTATCATATTTCATATTAGAAAATGCTAGAGATTACCATTTACTATGTAGTGATTATTACCAAGACACTTATTTGTTCAGGGCTCTATTTGTTGAACCATTCTCTTGATATTATGTTTTCTGCCTCTAAAATTGCAATGACCTTCTTTCCTTATAAAAAATATTGGTAACCTTGGTTATAAACTATTACTTTTTAAAAATTTAACAATAAAACTGCAAATAATATTCCAGATGATATCAATAGAATGAAATCTGAAGAATATATATAACACAAATGAAATATATAACAATGTGGGCAATGTACCAATTTATTGGAAATGATCCACATTGTTTGGTTTTTCTATTGTATTAACTGCAATATATAGTTGTATTTTAGTTGTATCTTACTTTTATGTGCCAATTTCAAGTGGCCTATTTTCTTCCTTTTTGATTATTCTTTACATTGATTACTTCCTAGATTTGAATATAGAAGCTTTTAGTAAAATAACGCCAAGAGTAGTTGCTATTTGAGCTTTGCTGATTTTCTATGCTTTCTTTTTTCTCTCTCCCCATTCTTTATTTAACTGACCATTGATTCCTTCCAATTGATGCATTATTCATATTATAATGGATATTTCTGGTCATAGATTGTTTCAGACTTTGGAATTTTAAAAATAGTAAGTTTTCCAAAAATAGTTTGCATATTTCATAGTATTTCAAGGAAATTTTCAATATTTCAACACTTAGATGGAATTTAAGATTTACATTTTCAATCTCATGTTTTTCTAGTAAACAAAAATAGCAAGTGACTGATTCTCTCTCGTTTATAAAATTAGATTTCCAGGAAAAATGTTTACAGATTTTGATTGCCTTAGAAGTTCATTTCATTTTGCAAACTTTTAAAATGAATAATCATACTCTTCAGGTCAGTTTTCACTTAGACTTCATGAAAGTGTGTGTGTGTATATATATATATATATATATATATATATATATATTTTAAGATTTGATGTGAGCTAGAGATAAAATGATACTCTGTAAAGGGTCACTATTGATTTATACAACTAATCAATATCATTTTCTTTGAATGGCCACCTTGTATAACTTTCTTACTATACCTGTGCCTCTGTACACAAGCCAGAGAGGTTGTGGAGTAGAGTGTGTGCACAAGAGTAATGATTGGTTTACAGAGAAAAAGAAAGAAAAACCTGTTGAGAATATCTTGTAATTTTGAATGTCTTGAAAGCTGGTTATGCAGCCTTGATGTAACTTGGAAACAATCAGAGGGAACTTTGCTGCATATGCATGAATACTCTCCACTGGTGTTACTCGGTCATCAGCATTGAGTAACCTTTTCTACTGTGTGTCTATCACATTCACAATGACCAAGCAAGTAGATTCTTCTTATTCATAGTTTTTCTCTCCCCCTCTCCCTTCAAGTAGGTTGGTGGGGGCAAAACATAGCATCCCCCATATTTGTCAGCCCCACTACTTACAGATTTAATTTAGCTCCTTGTGAGGAGTCAGGTTACTCTACAGGCACTAATAGTACTATGTATTTTATTACTAGATACCAAGCAGAATTAAAAACAAGACCCACAAAAGGGTGGATGAACTTTCCTTTTGGGTTAATGGTCACTTAGCACAATGGAATATTAGGACCCATAGCTATATATGCTGCCTGTGTGATGATATGGCATCTTTATGATGGGTATCACTGATTGAATCAGTGGCAACAACTCTGTAACCAAGGTGACCCTTGATCTGGTGAAGGATGATCTCTGCAAGGTCTACCTGTTCTAGGTGTGCTGCATATGAATGAATGCCTCTCCAACTTTAAACCCAGATATGTGGAATAAACTGATAAGGTGCTCAGTTGTGCAACAGCCCTACAACCACACCCTGTCATGGGGCTGTTGATGAGATTAAGGAGAGAGTCATGGCATACTTGATGGTAAACTGGAAGACTATTTTGTAGATTGGTCTGAAAAGTGAAAGGAACACTGGGATATGTGTGTCATGTTTCAAGAATAATACTTTGAATGTGATTATGGTTCTATTGCTGGAAGTAGGCTGTTTTATTGTTATAGACTTACTATTTCTATATCTGTCTATATTTCAGAAATGAGGTATTGTAATTATTTACACTATTTACATTGTTCGGACTGTTGTCCTCATCTTTGTTGCCATGTGACATTTCGGCTGTTGTATGCTCCAGCTTTCTTTAGATTAGAATTTCGAACTGAACCCTTTATTTCATCCACTGGGGTAGAATGAAATTCCAATCACCTAAAGAAGGCCAGAGTGTACACTGGCTGAAACGTCATGAATGTTGCAACAAAGGTGAGGAAAACAATGTAAATAGTGTAAATAGTATTTTTATGTTTTGATTTTATTTTTCATGAAGAACAAGTGATTACTTTAGTTTATGTTAGAGAACTTCTGCTACATTTTTGGTGATAGTCAAATCAAGAGCAAGCATTTCTTAGACTGCTTCAGGAACTCTAAATGCAAAAATATTTTAGCAAACCTTTATAGAGGACCATTAAAATGCTTTTGCATTTTCTACATTAAATATTTTTCCCCTTGTCAATAATAAATTTATTGCAGTGAATAATTAACATTTTCTGTTTGTTTTTTTTGTCAACTGAAGATAAATTTAATTGTAAAAAGATTGATTTGCATATTTCTTGAATTATTTCTATTAAATTCTTTAATTACATAATTTTTTTAAATTCTTAAGTGAAATTTAACTTCATGGGTCATATTAGTAAAAAGTATAAGAAATGCATTAAAATATCTAAGATTTCTTTTTCATAGACAACTTACTGAATTCAGGTCACCTGATCCATTTACAGGAAAACTTGGTATTTCTTTGTGCCAAATATAAGTACTGTCTAGAATAGTCATGTCAGTAGGAATTTTTCAGCTTGTAAAATGAATGCTTGATTATGATGTCACATGATTTCTCCTGGAACAAAATAACCAAACCATGAAGAAAATTATTTGAAAAATAAGTGTACCATATAAAATAAGCACCATATCAGAAGTTGTGGTTGGTTGAAGGGAATAATTTAATCATGCTGGCATTTGTACTTGGTACACAAGAATACAATGAGGTCTATCAAAACATTAACCTTTTTTAAATTATTAATATATACAAATAAGAACCTGAATTTCATTTGGGAATTACTTATTAGGATCTTATGCTTTTCACCTTCACAAGTGTGTAGATGAGTCATTTATTTTCATATGTTATGTCAAATTGCTTTGGGGAATGATGCTTTCACCCATCTAGGTACTAATGAGGCTTGACATTTCCTTGGTGATTGTACAGGAACCTGTGTTTCAACATTTATGCCATGAGAGATTCATAGGTGTGCTGCAAACATTTTTAAAGGTTATTAATTAAATTATTTCTGAAAGAAGTCCAAAGCAAATAAATGTACATATCAAAATTAAAACCACTTTAAATTGATTATATGAATATATCAATGTTATAATAAATGTATACATACTATATAGTGGGTTGAGTGTGCAAAATGAAGCTGCATGACACGTCCATAGATGGCGTGGTTTGACAAGGACATGCCAATGAACACTCCTTTATATTGAAGTCATCCAAAGTTGATTTCTGGAATGACTCAGCAATCCATCACTGTTCATGTATTGAAATGTGCCTGAAGTATTGAGGACTTGTGGGTTGTACTAAATGTATTTTTTATTTTTATTATATAGTGTTCAATTAAATTGATGACTTTTTAATTCAAAGACAAAAATTAGAAGACAATGCCAGTGTGTTGAATACTGCTTCATCCAGTACATTGGCAACCAAATTAAAAACAATTATTCATCAATATAATAAAGATTATTTATCATTCAGTTCAAGTTATCATTCAAATTTATTCTTTATTATGCTGCTTTTCTAGATAGACTTCTAAACTTGTTTTTGATTGTTTACTATGCACAACCAAATCTCAAATTTTGTATTCATTATTGCACCCAGTGCAAGCTTTTAATGCAAAATATTAATTAATAGGCTATTATTGTTAATATATTATAATGCCTATAATAACATCTATAATAATGAAAATAAGCTTGTTCTTTGTGATGAAAGGAAGAATCTACCTCTTCTGTTACAGATAATTTTGCAATAGTTTGGTGTAAGACTATAATTTTTTCTTTTATTATTGTCAAAAAAAATATTTTTGCATGTCTTTAAAAAAACAATTTCATTGAACAATTCCCCTCTAATCCAAAATATAATTCTAAAGTAAGCTGACTTTGAGAAATTTATTTACAGGAAAAAATATTCTGGCATTTTAAGAGAATATATAGGGAAGAGACGGTTTCAATATTAATCCTGAAAGATTTTCATCAATAAAATGAGAAGTGTTGGGTACCTTACATGTTTTATATGTAGGATCTTGGATATGGAATGTTAAATCAGGAATTTTTTTTTCTTTTAATTTTGGTTTGAAACTGATTTTTTTTTTCTTTAAGAAATTCCTTTATTTGTAGTTGAAATTCTGTTTTTGTTGACAATAAAAATTTAAAGGGTGACAATTCTTTCATGCGTATCACAGTTTTTTAAGAAGAAAAGACAAAAATGGCACTTTATTTGCAATCTGAACTTTTATGTCGGTATCTTCATACATACTATCATCACCTTCATTATTGTGATATTTAATATGTTAATTGCTTCTTGCTTTTCAAAGCAGTTTCTTTTTGTCTTTTGCAGGGCTTCTAAGCTGTGAAGTAAATATGCCTGGAAAACAAAGTTTTTGTTGGTGCTTTGGTGGCAGTCGGCCACCAGAGATCACACATGGAATTGAGTTTGGCCACACTCCCAAACCTATGGCCTTAGACATACCCATGCCTACTGATGAGAATGAATTAAATGAAAAATTTGAAAAACTAGTGGTAAGTCTTTTTTTCCATTTTCTTTCAGTACTTATTTTAAATAGGATTTTAGTTAAATGTGACTTATATTGTCAGAATGTTATTAAATAGTTTTTTGTTTGGTTTTTTCCAAAATTTGAATAATAGCGAAAGCTCTTTACAAAATAGTTTAATATGCTGAAATGTCTTAACTATCAAGACTTTCATCAAACATCTTGAAGAGAATTAATCTTTGAAATTTTGTAATGAGTTTAAACAAAATTTTATTTAAGTCCATATCATTCATGACAGCTTTTGCAATTAATAAATTTTTAATTCCATATATCATAACATGTATTTAATTTCAATTTCTACCAAAAAGTTATTTTGCATTTATTTGGCAATACTCTAGCTTGAAGATAAGCATAAAAAATAGCTGCTTTTTGAATTCTTATATATTGATGTTTATATTCCAAATATTTAGTCTAACAACTGAACTGATTTGTTGTCATTGTTACATTTTGACTGATTCATTAGCAGTCTTCACTTTAAGTGTGTAATCAGTAAGGAAATAAGGAAAGAGTTTTTATTTTTTCTACAAACAAATTATTACATTACCCCATTTGCATGCTGAAGAACTACTAGATGATATTTTCAGAAGCAGTGTTTTATTTATTTATTTATATATATATATATATATATATATATATATATATATCTAAAATATATATATATATATATATATATATATATATAGGTGCATACATACGTGTATATTTTTGAATAAAAATTCAAGAGGAGAGAATCCAGGTAGAACTCAATGTCCAGGAGTTGTTTTTTCTGTTTTCTTTTTGAATTTGTAGGTCTGATGAATTGGATCGTATTTCTGATTCCAATAGAATAAATTATGACCATGGAATATTAGTGTGTTTATATATATATATATATATATATATATATATATATATATATATATATATATATATATATATATATGCAAAAACTTATATGGCCTATTGTCCGTTCACACTCCTCCTTGGTCTTTTGAATAGTAGCGCTTCATCCCTTGTTTCCTGTTTAGGATTGGGTTTCTGGTTCCTTCTAAAGTCTACATCAACTCTATACACTTAACATTTCTGCTTGAACCCTGAAATTTTATTTGCTAATTAAATCTTGACTTCTTTAAGTCTAGAATTAGCTGCCTATCTTTCCAGTTATCTTATATTAATACAACTCCACACAGTAACCCTCTACCTTGAGTGCCCTTGGGTCTTGTATTGGGTGTACATTAGTAAAGAAAGTGTGAGATGAATAACTGATCAAGTTGGTATATTAGCAACCTTTTGTTTTGTTTAAAACAAAAACTCTTTCACTTAAGGATTATGCACCTGAAGAAGGCTGTAGAATGGATCAGCTGTTATAACATCAAGAACAAAAAAAATTCAGTTTTCTAAACAAAGCTTTGAATACTAATGAATCTTAAAGTTATAGACAACTTATAATATGGCTTTAAAAACATTTTTTAAAATTATATAATCACATAATATATACATTAAAACAATGGGGAAGGAAGAGCAAAGATAAGAAAATGCATATTACTCAAAATAAAATGGTGAATCAAAAATATAGCAAAAAGAAATGTTATTACTCCTTGATCTTCAGAGCTCAATTGAGAAGAAAACATTCACAAAGACTAAAAAAGTGGTGGAAGAAAAAATTCTAACAGAATCAACATTATGAATCCCAGACTGGTTGCACTAAGACCCAGTATCCATTCTTTCTGGTTACAAAGGGAAGGTTGCTTAGACTTAATATACAGTGTCTCAAGCTCTTTCAAATAATAATTTGTCTTAGATGATAACTGGAACAATCTTGAAAATGTCTATTTTAAAAGCTATCATAAATTTTTCTTCTCTCCACAAATTATTTACAATTGATATTCCTAGTTTGAATAAACACAATTTTCAAGTTTTTAATGGATAAATTTTTGTTTTCTATATATAACATCTGCCCAATAATAATTTTTACATTTCACTCACTAAATTGAACTATTATGGGACAGGGTTAGTATTATTTTTGCCAGTTCAAAAAGGCATAGGTTATACTCCTCTACTTTTGTCAGCATTGAAGTATCACAAAACTATAATTATGTATGTACTGTTCTCCATATCTGCAGTTATATTATCCACATCTGTTCCAAGGTAAGTGGAAAATTAATTGGAAAGAACAAGCCGAGGTTCCACATTTAACCCCCCCCCCAATCTCCAGAACTCAACCATCCTTAGCATTCTGTTTCAGATTCTCCAACTCCTACAGTTTTTGCTTATTTTCCCTTTAACCCTGTCCCTTTAGCCCCACCATCATGACATGGAAGTGATCTATCCTCCTCTAAAATAATTCACCACACAATTCCAGGTGCCTTAATAATTAAGAGGAGGAGGAGAGTGGTAGTAACAGGAATGGATGAGAAGTTTGATTGCTTGAAAAGGTTGTTTTCGGAAAAGGGTTGTGAACACTGAATGCAGACCTGACAGAAGCCAGAGATGAGGTGGGCATTTCCTCCTCCCATGTTTTTTTTTTACTTGAACCCAACACTTTCCATCAGGTTGAACATGTGGAGTTAATTTTCTGCAATGTGAGTACATACTCACACAAAGTATACTAATAAGTCATGCATATGGGTAGAAAAGTGCATGTAATTATATTTACATCCATACAAGTTTTACACATATATTTTCATGGACACATATAAAATATATATAAACATGAATGCCTGCTCACATATCACTACACATAGTTATATATATATATATATATATATATATATATATATATATATATATATATATTTGTTGATTTTTTTTTCATTAAAATCATTGCAAGTGATGTTATTTCACTTTGAGCTTGACTTGTCGAAATTTAGTGCAATTTGTGTGTATATTGACCATAACAAATAACCAATATACTATTAACAGAAGTCAAATATAAATAGATAACACTGAAATATATATATATTGATTGAACTACATGCATTATGATGCATACATATTCTACACCCAATGGTACACTTTTCAGTTGTACCTGCATGCACCTTAGGTATCTCCACTAATTTACTAAAAAAGCATACTATGATAAAAAAAAAACCCCAAACTTGATGAAAACAATTTTTTATCATCTAAATGTTTGTTATTATTAGGAGCAAAGTATTTTTGATTTTTTTTTTTTTTTTTTTTTTTTACATTTTTTAATCCTTCCTAGCACATCCAAAATTTGCCATTAAAATTGCCATAAAATTGATTTCGGCCATTTTGACAACTTTGTAAACAAAAGTTAAATTCTCTGTTTAAAAATCTAAGAGATTAATTATATCTTTTTCAAAAGTTATTTGAGGAAAATTAGAAAATTTAAAGTTTACTTAATGTAATTGAAAACAAAAATTACTTTTTTAGCAGAAAAATTTAGTTGAATATAAGTCAAGCCTGTCTTAACCATCATGACTTGTGTTTGAGGTGTCAATTATTAACAGCTGGAGAATTTAATGGATGGTAGGACAGAAGTGACTTTTTTTTTTTTTTTTTTTAGGTATGTTAGCTTTACATTTCAACATGAATTTTGGAAAAATAAAATTTAAAATACTAACAATAAAATAAATTTAAAACTCATAACTGAGAGCAAGATAAAATATGAGAGAGGTAACTAATTTTTATGTACATCTCTTATGAAATTTATGGTATTTTTTTTTTTTTTTTTTATATTTTTATATAGCATGGATATGAATTTTTTATGAGAATTATTTTTTATATGAATTATTATTATATTGTAATTTTTTTAATATGTAAATTTTTAATTTTCCATATTTTGTTTCTGTCCCTTAAAACTAAAAAAGAAAATAATTGAATTTAAAAAAGAAAAATAATTGCAGTATGTCCCTCATTGAAAAATAAATTATATTTAAAAATTTAAATTACAATATTTAATGAAATAGGTTAAAAATATAAAAAATTTTGAAAATGCAATGATAGAGAATTTAACACCTGCTCACCAGAAGGAAAACAAAATATTTTCTGAGGCCTAGGCTGGTTCTCACTGTCAGGAGGACAACTTTTAAAACACATGACTATTATGGCTAAAATGTCCATCCATACATTTGAAGCAAACGTTTTTAATCACATTTTTTGCATATTCAAAAATATTTTTAAAATAATTTATGTTCACAGATTGTAATAAGTTTTCAAATTTATGATCTGTAAAAGTAGATCTACTTAATAAAAACATTTTCTAAAAGACACAAATTGAGACTTAATTTTAAAATATTTAACAACTGTATCACCTTTTTTTAAAATTGAAAAAAAAAAAAATTCTTGTAAAAAAATTTTTTTTTTTTTTTTAATCACAAGAATATTTTGGCTTCAGACAAGAGTGTCCTTAACATATACTATTCATAAAAGCAACTTAAAAACTTTTTTAATTAAATGTCTTAGTTTTATTGGGTTTTGTATTTTACAATTCAGAGCTGAATTTTGGGTAGTGCATAATTTTGATTTTACAAAAAAAATCCGATTTATATTCAATTTTTTTTCTGCTTTTAACTAATATAATCACTAAGTTACATAAAGTTGAATTTTCGAGTTTTCATAAAATTAAGGAACAGTGGGTAACATACGTTAAAAAAAAAACAAATGTTACCATGGCTTTAAAACATGTTTAAAATAATTTCATTCATTTGTGAATAAGTTCTGAAAGTTTCATTAAAATCTGACAATTATTTTATTTTTTAAAGAATTTCCAAATTAATGTGTTTTTGTCTATATTTCTGAGATGAGGTATTATATACACTATCTACATTTCTCGGACTATCATCCTCATCTTTGTTGCCATATTTATCACGTTTCAGCCGTTGTATGCTTCAGCCTTCTTCAGGTGGTTGAGATGTCCTTGAGGACACATGGCACAGTGGATAAAAGCGTTAGTTAGATCCAGTGACAGGACCCAAAGAGTATGAGTTCAATACCTGGTTAAGGCGGTGGAGAACTTGGAGAGGG